CACACACACACACACACACACACACACACACACACACACACACACACCAAAACAGTTACCTGCAAACTTTGTGTTATAGATGGGTTGGGCTGTTGGAGTTGGTACTCTTACATTGTGCTGATAAAAACTGTATCAGTCGCTGAGATCCACCTATAACTTTAACTTAAGTCTTTATAAATATACATTATCACAGAATGTGAGGTTGTCTCGGCGACCAGTCGGGGTTATGTATACAGTATATATATACTGTATATTGCAGCTGTTAAAGTTGCACTAGCCTTTTTCATTGCCTTTTTCATGGCAGACATTCTGGCATCATAGCAGGAAAAGCACAGGTGTAATTAATCACCATAACGACTGCATGCCATTCAGGTGAGCCAGTTCCAGGGTGCCGGCAGACTCCGTCTTCACAGCAGACATTTTGACTTGTTTAACTCATAACATTAACGGTGGCTCTGTTCTATTAAAGTGTCCCAGTAAGACATGACAGTGTGGCAGTGAGCTAGCATGCACAATACCAGGAGCCTGACACTGAAGCAGCTAAATGGAATTCAGCAGTCATTCATTAATCAGAACTATCAAACCTATCAGAATGCCATGAAGAAAAGTCCATTAGTACAGAGAGTTTAGTGATCTCACAAAGCATAAAGCTCCACCTGAACCTGAGGAGGTCTTCATTTTCTCTTCAAAGTAAGTGACTTAGAATTGTAAGGATCTATCCCTCTGGAGATATTGTTAGCACCATTACAGCGAGGAAGTAGGTGGGCAAAATGTACAGTAGGAAAACCATAGCTCACAACAGCCAGCCTCTCTGCTCCTCTTTTCCCCCCCCCACTCATCTGAAATCTCCAGTTTTTACTTTCCACACAGCATCTTAAATGGGGACTCTCAGACGCTCCACGACCATCTCCGGTAATTCTAGACGGGCCTATGATCACATTACCGTCCCGTCCTCACTCGCCTATAGAGCAAGCTTCTACTATCAGGAAGTGTTCAAGTGTGTCCATTCATCACACTCTACTTTACTGCTCTAACCGCTTCCGCCACCAGACAGATACTGTGTCTTGTGTCTGGGTCGCTCTATCTGTAGCCTTCTCCATTTCAGCAGAGCTTAATTTCCCCCCCCCCGCCCACCTCTGTCATGTCGTTACCTCAGAAAACAACAATACTATTCATCATTGTACCACAATGTGCGAGACGAGTCACAGTTTGTCATCCTCTGGGCTTGCGGCGTCAGAGCAAAACCACAGTAAGTATTGAGAGGAGCGTACAGGGGGTGAAATAATTAGAGTGACATTGTGGTGTAAGTGAGCCCTCTTTTCCTATATCCACTTCTTTTAAGGTGACATACAGCTGAATTTCAGTTTCCATATTGTGGCATTCCAACAAGACAGATCACAGCGCGATAGTGACATCCTAGCATTGTCTCTCTGAGCTCGTGTTATATCAGATGAGTTCAGAAAGTCTGCTTCTCATTCATCGTTGTTAGAGTAAACCAGAAACCTTTGATTATGTATACCAGCGGACTTGAAGACTGAGGCTTAAGCCGTCACAGGCAAAAAAAACAAACAGAAATAAGTCGGCACCCTCACTAGGTGATGATCCATGAAGAAGATATGTAAATAAAGGATTAGCACTGTTCTTGGAGCACGCAGCTAGCTGTTCTCGTATCAACATTTTAAGTGTGATGTAGTGGAGATGTCCGTCAAAATTAAGACCACCAGTCCCTTTAATGTTTCGTCTTCACACAGGACGATTGTGTTATTAATGTGTTATTAATGTGAAGTCTTTACACAAACAAAATATACTTTCGTGGCCAGGAGGTATTGCTTCTTCAATGTGTTGCGCCACTTGAGGGCTTGCAGTCTAATCTGAACACCTCCTGTCTGGGCTCACATAACAGCAGCATCACATGACCTCCAACCACAGATGTCCTTTATTAAAAGGTCTGATGCAGCAGATGCCATATATTATCCCAGCTCTCGTACTTTTTAGCAGATGGAAAGCTCGTTGAAGTGGTGGGAGTCAGTTGCTAAACTTTCTGGAGCAGGAAGTGGAGGATAATGGTGCTAATTACCCATCACCGTGTTTAAAAAGGGGCTAGGAGAATGGAGATGTCAGCAAAGTGAACACACCTCTCATTTTCCAGTCAAAGGAAAACTCGGCAACTCAAGCTAAATATACACTTTTCTTTTGTTGCACAATTACAGGTATAGAGAAGCTGGAAACGGGCTGACAAAAGTAAAACCTTACATTTGACCCACATAAACCCTGGAGCGACGCCGCTAACGGAAAAGCTCTGAATCATGAAATGAATTAAGGCGGGATAAAAGCACAAGTCAAGCCCTGCTGAATAACGGATAGACAGGGTGCTGTAAGTAAGTAAGTGATCGCTGTCAGCTAAAAGAGCCCCTGCTGCTTTAACACAGAAGATGCATAAACATCAAAACACGCTCAGCATCCCTCTGCTTATATAACCCAGAATCAAGGTACGTTTTTTTTTTTTTTTAACAAAAGGTCATGTGGCTACGCTACCAACATGCCTTCGTCGTCATCTCTCGCCCATTCTAGCACATAATACCCGTCTCACCTCATAGGACCTCATGCAACGCATTGAGGCAGGCAGTGTGGAGTTGCTGTCGTCGATCACTTGCAGCAGCTGCTCACACACGCTCAGCGGCAGCTCCACGGGTTGTCCTATGGCGTTGGCCTCCCAGCTCGTTACGAGGCTGAAAACACACACAGAGGGGAGGAGTGATTTATAGTGGCCGCCACAGCATTATACAACCGAGACAATGCCAGGAATAGCTGCTGTAAATTCCACGTGGAAGCACTCCCCCTGATGCGTTAATGAAGCAGTTTTTAACTGTAAACTGAACTAGATAACTGGGGATACATAAAAGTAGATTGATGGTGTGTGTGTGCGTGTGTGGGGCGTCGACACTTGTGTGTGTGCGAGATGAGAAGAGGAGAGGAGGAAGAGTGATCGAGAGAAGAGAGATTGATGCTCTGTCGGTTTGTGGTGCTGATTCAGTTTGTTTGGGTGACATTTAGCCATCTGTGCAGTTCCTGAGGAAGAAACGTGTTCTCAAGTTGGAGCAGGTCTATTTAAGGCATCACGCTGGGGAAACATTACTGCTATAGCTATGTTTACATGCATGGGAAAATGGGCTTAATAGGGTTTGTTCACACAGCGAATCTAATTCATTCTCTGTGCATGGAAATGTAGTTAATGTTATCTACGTTAAGGTTTAATTGTTCAGAATGAATCCCACAGAAAAGGAGTGGCCCATACAACTTCCATTACACTCAATTTTCGTATCCATGAGACCTCATTCACATTGCACCCGGCTGTGGTGGTGCCTGCGACTTTCACTCCACTCATAATCAAGTCACCGCCATTAGTGACAAGTGTAATCCACTTAGGCACTGGCTCACCGCTTCTCCAGCCAATTATTGGCAGTTTCAACAACACACACGGCAACCTCTGGCCGCGGCCGACCGGAACCGACTGTATCCCCGAATAAGAGGGCAGTCATCTGGGGAATTCGGCTCCCCGGGCATAACATTTAATTAAAAAATGTCAGAGATGAGTGATGGAGGATGAATGGTGAATTATGTAGGGGGGGGGGAAATGGAAGTGTGAGCAACACCCGCGTTTAGCTTTTGCAAGACTTCAGAGAAATGTAAAAATAAAGCAGTCGCTCAAATGTGAAGCACCGTAAAGCTCAGACTGTAAAGAGGTGCTAGGTTCTATATTCAGAACATGTCTATGATTGTCTCCACACAGCTCTCAACATGGCAACGGACGAGCGGTCGGCTAGCAGCTAACGGTGCTAAAAGCACGTATACAGTGCAGACAAGGCAACAGCTACAGACGAAGAGAGTAGAAAATAGTTCACTAAATAAGTGGAAAGTTGTTAATTCTTCTGACGTCTTTACAAAAGCAGCAGCGCTCCCGTCACCAGGATGACAGAGAGCACGCTCCTCTGGTGGAACGGTTTCCTGTGCAGCAACCGGCTCCTACGGCTCGTTGAGTCGTTTGAAATGCACTCTTACTGCTTCGGCTGTGGAGACAAGCCCTTTCTCCTTTCATGCGAGTTTTACCACTAATTACCCTTTCTCCGTCAGTCAGCCAGTGGGCTTGTCAAAAACGGTCGGAACAACAAAACGTCTCTGTTCTGCTTTCACGCCACGCGGCTGCAGGGTAGAGGAGGAGGAGGAGGAAGAAGAAGGGAAAACGCAGAGTGCTGATTCAGTTGAAAATAATGAGGGTGGAAGGCTCTTCCAGTGGGGGGGGGGGGTGCTGTACTGAACATGGAGAACCACATGCAGCACATCCACCTACACCTCTCTAATGCATCACAGCAAGGCACACAGAGCCTCTCTGCCATCAAAACAACATCACCCCCCCATGTGTGTGCAACAAACACGAGCGGGGCTTATGCAACTGACAACGTGGAGACGATAAACACCTTTGATGGCAATCTCATTGCCGAAAAAAGAAACAGCAGACAATTATGTCTGAGCGGGGACCCTTAGCGCAAAGTGTTCTGAGGCCGAAGAAATCCGCTCGTCTACACGGTATTTCTTTCATCCCTCGCAGTGAGCCCGAGACAGGTGATGATTGAGAGGGTGCGCTGGAAAGATGAAAGGATGAGATATTAAGCGAACAGAGATTGAAAAGGGGAGCGGGGAGGGCGGAGGAATGCAGTGAGAGCGCATCGCTTACTCTCTCTGCTGGGCGCCCGTGTCGGAGCAGGAGGCGTAGAGGAGCTTCAGAGCTCTGGCGGCTCCGGGAGACGGACCGTGAAGAGCCGGGGAGTCGAGGGACTGCTCGGCCCCGACACACGACTCCGGGATTGACGCCGTGATGGAGTCGCTGTTCAGCAGCCAGACCTGCAGGAGGATACAGGCTGGATGTCACATGACACGAGGGAACCGCACGCCACCACATGGACTGAGCTTATAAACGATGCTCTTATATCCCGTGATGGCATCCAGGGTCTGACACATGGCCTTTTGATGATAACTGCTAGCCACCATTTAATTAAAACAACTGTGTTTGACTCTCCAAAAGTAGATGTTGCCTTTAAACTAATGTTTACCTTTCTAACTTCTCTGCTCCTGCACTGGGAGGCTTAACCAGCACACACACACGGTTTCTCAGCCCTCATAGATCAGTAGTGTGAATGTCACCAGTGTCTCTGAGCTGCTCACACACAGTGAGCCCAGAGTAGAAATGCTGCCTTCAGTTTGTGTTGGAATTATCAAAAGTACAGCATGAGCACACGTCGTGCACCTCTGATATGATGCAGGTTACTTTTTTATTTGATATTCATTACAGAATTCAGAAGTCAGTCCACACAAGATGAATTATATATCTATATATATCGTTTTTTATATTTTATGTCCTGCAGTTTTAAGTCCTACAAGGTCCCTATTTGTGGAAAACGAAGGACATTTTATGCAAACGGTGAGCAAACAAATATCCTCTGCCAGCTTCGGTTCAAATAACATTATTATTGGAGCACAAACACGGCAGCACACACTTTTACTCTCAAACTTCCTGTGAATGACGTGCAGCGGTGTGTCAGTGTTGTTCTGCATGGAGCCACTTGTCGCTGATTTCAAACGGAGCCGAAAGCCCGGCAGTGAGCTCAACAAATCACTTTCAATCAGCTTTTCATATCGCTGGAAGAACCTGACACTTCACCCTGTCCCATTAATCAACAACGTGAGGGGTCTATTTTTACTCGGCGTGCTTCTCTGATTACGCCAGCTTGTTCTTACCAATAAGAAGGCTTTTCCATCGGGGGTTTGGATGGAGAAGTGGAAGGTGCTCAGTGAGGTGGACAGCCCCAACAGCCTGGCTGCTACGGTCTGCTCCAGGAAGAGCGATCTGTCCCAAAAGAGAGGTAAAGTTTCTGACTTTATACATTTAGTCTTTATAGAGCATATTCATGCACTCGCAGTAAAACAGAATGGCGGTAGTGATTAATTTGTTTTTCTTACTCACTAAACGCCTTCAAGATACATTTATGGAAAAATATGTCACGTTTTATGGTGCAGTACTTATTAGGAAAATAGTACTGCAAGTCAAATATTGCAGCCAATCATTAAGTTTAATACGGAAACTTAAAAAAAGGCTAATAGGTTCTCAGAAGACGGTGAAAAAAACACTGTGGGATTATTAAAAAACGTTTCACTCTGAAGCCTGAATTGAAAAAGCCTGAACACAGCGCTGATACGCGACGGCCACGTTTTCATCTATTTCCCCCAGAAAAGAACGGGCTTCGCTTCAGCCGCCTAATTGTCACCACTGGCGGTTTGGATAAAAACCTGCCTGTTAAGTGAAGCTTCTGGCATTCGGTCTCCCACAGCGGGCTCCACCACCACCTGTGTGATGTACAGTTTCAGTGTCTCTGAAAGGCACAAAAGAAGAAAAGAACAACTCGTAAGCACAAAAAAAAAAAAAAAAAAAAAAAAAAAGAGAAGAGGATTATGATTCTAACCCACGGAGCGATGTGTACCTGGTGCCACAGCTTCTCCCAGCACAGATGAACAGCTCTTGCAGAAGATGAGCACCAGTCGTCGGCAGGATTTCTGTACGAAACACAGGTACAAAAATAAATAAACTTTAAACATCAATCACGATACACACAGATCTTTACCCAGGACAGGAGGTAGAAGAGAGAGAGAGAGAGATACGGCATGCAGGGTGTCATTTGTTCTCCTGCGCTTCCTATCTGCCTCCCTTTCTATTTTTCTCCCTCTCAGTCTTGCAAAGAGTGCCATCGCAGAGTGACTAATAAAAGAGTAGAGAGATCAATCCTCGTCTGCAGAGTGCTGCAGTTTGACTTCACTGATGCAGCCGTCTGAGGAGTGTGTGTGTGTGTGTGTGTGTGTGGCACACTGTGCCAACCACAGGGATAATTCTTTCATCCAGACTTTAGTTGTGGAAAACAGACATCTCTCAAGAGTCCTTGCTTCTCCAGGAACTCTGGATGTTTGTCATAGCGGTTAAAAAAGGAGCAATCTGCTTGTTTTCCTGTGCTCAGCGCCTCACCTTTGAGTCGTGAGCGTCCTCCGAGCCAACCAAGCTCACCTCCTCGGTGAGAGTCTCAGCACAGCCGCCATCTTTGGCTAGCAGGAGGAAGGTGTCCCCCAGCAGGCAGTCCTCCGCTCGGGGCAAAAGCTTCTTGTTAAACGGGTCGGGGTGGCAACACCAGTCGTCCACGATGGCGTTCCAGTTGCCATTAGGCAGAGGAAGGACTCGCTTAAACTTTCTGAAGAAGAGAAACAACAACAAAAAAGAAAATTGTGGGTCTTTTGTCTTTTTGTCCACAACCACATCGCTTCACTTTGAACCTCATCACTCCGTAGAGGTAACATTAGCATTCCTCTGAAGTCAAGTTTCTGGCCCCATGATGAGTTTAAGTAGAAATATTTACTCTCTGTTTTGGTCTCCACCAACTTGTGAGGGAAACATCCGGCTCCTTAGCTGCTAAATGCTCCACTGTGTTCACCGGCTAGTTTGGTGCTGAGCAGGTAATGTGCAAATGTTTTCTTAGCCTTTTTTTTTTTTTTTTTTTTTTAAACGGAAAACAGCTGCATTCCGCGGCTGAAACAAGGTCGATGAGAGAACATTTTGGGCTCAGAACCCAAAACAATGAGCAGAAAGACATTTAAAAGCCATTTTCCACTACGTAGAGTCAAATGGACCCGTTGTTAATATAAAAACACTGATTAGAGCAGCATTATCAGCCATATCATGGGACGTATTGATACAAAGCATAATGAGGCATAATGTTTACTTTTAAGCTCGGAGCACTTCTCCGGACATTATTGCTTCCCACAGCTCTTGCTGAAAGCAAAAAATAAATAAAAAAGTTTTGAGGAACTTTTATTGGGTTATTGCTGAGAAACATCGCCAGAGGCCAAGGGTGTCTTTAATGCTGCTATTGCAATTTTCAGCGTGTCACATCGCTGACCGGAGAAAAAGCTACAAGCAGAGGGTTATAAGAACACCACCACAGTCTGCCTGAACCACCTCAAGGTGAGAAAACACAATTGTCTTTTAATGGGTAGAGTGGACTCCGTTACTCTAAACCGGTCAGGTCGACGGCCGTGGACTCGGCTCCGGCTCCATCCATCAACTTTGCTTTCCCAGACTATATCACTTCAACCGCCGGGTCGCACCGTCAATAAGCGCTTCCTGCGGAGGAGGGCGTAAACAAAAAACCTGTCGCCGTCCGTCCGTCCGCCCCTCACCTGTCCTCCAGCAGCCTGGTCATGCAGCCCTGGCAGTGGAAGCAATAAGTCTCTTTGGCCCGGAGCGTCTCCACCGTGCTGTCAGGAGCCTCTGTGGAGTGCCGGAGGCAAAAAACAAAAACAAATAGATGAGCCGTGTTTGATGAAAGGCTGGTAACCTTGTGCTACAAAGCACAGAGTCGACAGAATACTGGGTGGCGAAGGTGGCTTGGACATTGATTTGTCTCGGACTGTCCTTCGCTGTAACTCCTTCATGCGCCGAGAGTGACATGAAAAATGCCAAAAGATGAGAGTTTGTGGATATTATGCAATTACTCTGAGGTACAGATATGCTGATGATCATATTGATGATATGAGATTAAAACTTAAAGAGAGTGTTCCCGTGACTCTGATGATCAGTTGCTAGTGGGCCACCGGGGATCCTGAGAGCAAAAATGTACACCTTCACAGTCTCAGACGACCAAGTGACTCAATCCAATTAATTCTGACTGTACAGCGAGCTCTAAATAGTTGCCGAAAGACTTTGTTCTCGCCTTGGCACGGAGGAGTCCAGTACAGCATGGGGGGCGGCACGTGTCTGGATGCGTTTCCAAAGCCGTCACGGGACATTACCTCCGTCTGGGCTTGGCGTGACTCCGATGCGCAGTCTGAAATGCAGCTCCTCTCCACGGGACTCTCCCGCGGGCGTCGGCACGCAGGATCCCTGCTCGAAGGTGACTCCTGCCGGCAAAGTCAGGCTCAGCTGGCCTCTGGGAGTCTGGATGTGGAGAGAGGACTCTCCACCTGTCACCACCACATCGGCAGGACTCGTGGCCACGTCTTTCCTGGAGGGCAGACGTGGGATTACAAGGAACATATAAGAAACAGAAGAAGACATCGTTTGTTTTTCTTAAGAAGGGAGAGGCCCGTTGTATGACCCTGTGGCTTCTTGAACTCTCGGATTACATTTCTTTGTTTTCCATCACATGGATTTTGTGAAATCTTATGTGTGCAAATTAAAAAGAAAAAGAAAAAAAGAAAGAAATATATATAATATATAATTTCCGATACATTTTGTTTTTTTTTGTACAAATCAAACATTTGAGATTCAGCATTTTAACGTGTGAGCGTTACAGGTGACAGTAGTCCGATTTTGTCATCTTTGGATGGAGCCAGGCTCGCTGGAGTGGTATCGGTCTTCTAATCCAACTGTGGGAAAGGAAATCTAAAAATCTAGCTATTCTTTTCAGACTTCGGGAAACATTATGTTTCAACTGAGGAGGCTGGATCATTTGGCAGTCTCTGTTCCTGATACTTAATGCATCATAAGTGAACAACGAGCCAATGTCCACCAAAACCTGGCAGCATCACAACATACACATATGGATTCAGGCTGGGGATCCGTAATTAGTCAAGGTCTCAATACAGTTATTAATGAGTCAGCCTTTAGTGCGGAACATAATAGTAACAAAATAGTTGGCAAAGCCCAAAAAAAACAACATTTTACGGAAAGGCCGAGGAAGGTAGCGAGGAGTCTGAGCTCCAGGAGGCGCTGTAGAGCTCCTCTGGCATCTAGAAATGGAGTTAAGGAAGTCCTTCATCCAACATCCCATCAATACTCTTAACTCAACACACTGACTGGGAAGATTATAGCAACAGTCATAGACTGTAAACTGTTTGTTTTGCTTATTTATTTTGTTGTTTCTTGTGTTGGGTGAGCCAAGGACATATTTCCACCCTGGTGAACAATAACTATATGTTAATATTTAGTCTATGGTGCAGAACAAAATCTGTTTGTTTTTTCTCTGGGTGGAGATATAATATAAACAGAACAGTCCAAGGTTCTCTGCAAATCTCATTACCGCCCTCTAGTGGCGGTAAAGGTGTACTACAGCCTCATTCAGCAAGCACAGGAGCCCGTTACCCGAGAGAAATCTCTTTGCTTCTATATCATTTAAATGTATAGTTAATCAAATAGGTGGGGGAAAATCTGTGGTCTAATCACTCATCTATTTAAATCTGCTTTTAACCTGTAAAGTCAGTTTTGTATGTTTTCTTTCCGTGTTGTTCCCTACTGTTATTATGTCATCGATTTTGTTATTGGTTTTTTTTGCCATGCAAGTGTCTTTGAGTGCCTTTTAAAGCGCTATATAAATAAAATGTATTATTATTATTATTAGAGTAAAAGGTACTTTCCACCATTGATAAATACTACATGTATCATAAAAAGCCAAAACGTCTTGTCATATTGTAATATGCTACTTATTAATGTGTGATACAATAAGCAGACACCAAAGTCAAACCCATATTTCTATATTATACAAAAAGACTAAAAAACACAACCCTTGACTACAAGAGGAGGCTTGATGCTAACTGCAGCAGATTGTGCAACAAAAATTGTGCTAAATTAGCTAATGCTCTTAGCTAGCATGACGTTAGCTTAGCAACAGATGGAATAATGTGAACTAACGTGTTAGTGTTTAGCTCGCTAGCTTTCTGTCAAACATAACTAACTTACCCGACAATAAGCAGTCCGCTCTGCAGTCTCTTCCTCAGCTCTAAGAAGACTCCGACTCCATGTGTTTTGCCTGGCATCTCCAAGTCTGCCATTTACGCAATGCAATATGCAGAAATTATTTGAAAAATCATACACTAATCGAAACTCAGTGTGGCTGTGAGACTCTGCAACATAGCACCAAAATAAGGAAACTATAAAGGTAACGTTAACGTTACATCTATCTGCTTCAGCTAGCTCGTGGAATCCAGAGGCGGGTAACGTTACTTGTCTGCAGCATGCTGCAGACGTCAAGTACACTATTGTAAGAGAGGAGAATCCGGTCAGACATTTCAAAATAAAAAGGGGTTAACGAAGCCTATTAGCGGTGGCAGATATTTAGCATTTTGATCTTGCAGTTTTATAGCTGGAGAGTGACAGTAATAATAAATGTCTTACAAATAGATTGACTCAGGGTCCTTCTATAAAACAAGATTATCCATCAATGCAGGATCTTTTTTAGTTGATATTATACTTTGGCAGTGCAAATTAGCAAATATTTCAAATGAACAACCAAGGTTCAGGAAACTTGAGTTTTGGGGCCTGTGGTAGTCTGGAACCAGGGCAGTTGTAAAATTTTTTTACTTATTGTTATTTTTTTGTTATTATTATGCCCATAATAATTAGAATTTATTAAAATTAATGTTACAGCTGAACAGTTGAATCATAAGGTAACTTTATAAAATCATACATAATAATACCAAAATATGGGGAGGCTAATTGCTAAAAGTCAAAGTGGAATTTTTCAAACGTGGAAGGCATCCCCTTTTGTTTTGCAGAAAAATCTAATCATTTCCAATTTTATTTCGTGTGACGTCGGGTAACTTGACACAGCTGTGAGGCGGAAGACCGGAGCAGTTGGACGCTATGGTTGGATGTACAGCTAATCTGCAGTGCAGTCTGGGAGCTGTCAATCGTCTCGCTTTGTATCTTTGGCAGCGGAAGCTACTGATGCGCTCATCACTGTTTATTTACACACTGCCAGACAATACAAAGAGGAATAAGAATATGTAGAATACAATTACCTATTGTCTGCTTCCTAACCCTTCTTGTTAAGGGACCTTATGTGAACGGGTGACATCGGAGCCGGGCCCTGCATCTTTAGCGTTTAAACAACCTGCTACTAACGTTCACGTTAGCTAGCCTGCTAGCCATATTATTGACGTTGTCAGTCGTTTCTACTCAGCCAACCGGGCGCAGGATTGAATGACAGTGGCTGTCCTATATCGTATAACGGTAAGCTATTATATCAGCTTAATTTGTTAACGCTGCAATGTAACGTTACCGGAAGTCACCTCGCCTAGCTCGTGACAAGGTGGCTGTTAGCTAACGTTACTGGAAGCTCGAGTCAAAACGGTAGTAACGCGTTGAAGAACATTTTTTTGCGAATATTCCTGAGCTAAATGTGCGTTTATAATAAATGCCGTTATTTATTTGTTTCGCTACAAAACGCTAACTCTGGTTATGCGACGGCTGCTGTAGTTTGGAGGACAGGTGTGCATACCTGCCCCACAGCACTGCAGTGTGTTGTTGATGCTTGACAGCCATAGTGAAGTCAGGCAGCTCAATGAGACTCAAGCTAGTCTCACACACACAACATACATTTCACATAACTCTGTCGTTAAGTGTACTTCTCAAACGTTCAAAACGTGTCAGACTCCTTTCAGTCTATCTGTAGGCTTCTTCTCACGGCAGACATTTTGACACGTCACAGCAGGACAAGCACAGGTGTGATTAATAACATGAATTAGTTATCACCTAGCTGCAGTGTGCTCGAGCTCTCACTGATATGGCCTCACTTATTGGCCCCGAGTCATCATTAATGTCAATAGTTCCACCTTCCCTTGCTGTGACAAGTCAAATATGAACTTGATAACCCTACTTTTAAAACTCCATTTTTAAAGAGAGGCAAATGTAGCGTTTGTCAAACAGTATTTACGTTTTGTAATGGAAGCTTGAGAGCCTGGATGACACAGTGTAGCATGGACTAAACACCACCACCACCGTGTGCTAACAAGAGCCAGTTTCCTTGGTGAGGCTGTTGGTGCTGCCTTGTGATGTGAAATACCGGTCAGACTTAACCCTCTCCTCTTCACCAGCTGCATTAATATGTTGCCCGTGGTGCCATTCCCCTCAACATAAGTGTTCCATCCTGAAAGGCTGCATTGTAGGAGGTGCAGTGTATATAAGCACCGTGTGAAAGTTGATGACCCCCCTCATCCTGGACCATGTAGAGGCCTTTCTTTTTCTTCATGTAGATAAACTTATCAGTGTGTGTTTTTGATCTTCTGTTCAGCTTCTTTTCTTGTTATTTTTCCCCAATTGCAGGTGTGATGTACATATGTATGCCTGGTGTATCACATTAGCGCAATAACCACCCAGGAGAATGAATGCAGAGGAAGTGGAACTGCTCAGTGACTCCAAGTACAGGAACTATGTGGCAGCAGTGGACAAAGCCCTCAAGAACTTTGAGTACTCCAGTGAGTGGGCGGACCTCATCTCTGCACTGGGCAAACTCAACAAGGTGATGATCTCCATCAAGCCGCCATCATAATACACTGCACTAGATCACAAGCTGTACAGAAAGAAGGCAAAGATATATATACAATGCTAGAAACATGTACTATCATTACTGTATACGCCAAAAGGGTTGAATACACGTTAAAAAAAAAGGAGCATTTATTTTTAGCATGCCATGACAAGAAGCATAACATCACATCTAATCTGCTCGTGCGTGAATTGCACAGATGAACGTTCTGTTGTGAGTGCACGCTTCATATCCACCACGTCTGTCTCAGGTTTTGCAGAACAATGCAAAATACCAAGTGGTTCCCAAGAAGCTGACGATAGGCAAGCGGCTGGCCCAATGCCTCCACCCGGCCCTGCCCAGCGGGGTCCACCGCAAGGCCCTGGAGACGTACGAGATCATCTTCAAGATCATCGGACCCAAGAGGCTGGCCAAAGACCTCTTTCTTTACAGGTGATACTGTAGTTCCGCTCACACTGGCCGGTAGTTTAGCTGGACATAAAGCTTCCTGCTACTATCAGAATGTTGATATCTTTTTTTTTTTTTTTTTTTTTTTTTTTTTTAATCGCTGCAGCTCTGGGCTCTTCCCTTTACTCTCCAATGCCGCCATGTCTGTGAAGCCGGTGCTGCTGGGGCTCTACGAGACCTACTACTTGCCCCTGGGAAAGACTCTGAAGCCAGGCCTACAGGGACTGCTGACCGGGGTCCTGCCCGGCCTGGAGGAGGGCTCTGAGTATTACGACAGGTGAGAAGAGCAGGGATGGAAAGAAGAGAAAACGCTGCTGATGTGCACATGCGGGCACTGGAGCAGGCCATTAGGAGAAGGCATTTTACAGCATAATGTGGAAGGGAATTGATTTCAGATAGTATGAATGATAAATGAGATGTGTGAGTCATTGCACGACTAACGTTTCAAACTCAAGATGCAGACTTCTGCCTCTTCAGTTCAAAACATGTTTATTGTTTGATTCCAGGAATTACCTGCAGACGTGCGTGTTTGCCGTTTACATTTACGATCTCTAGAAATCTCAAGTTTAATTTACAGTGTTTTCCTCGTATCTATTTGTATTTGTCATATATTGATTGAGTCATTTCATGTATTCACATTGTTACTTGTTCATATAGTTGTGAATGGGTGATATCTCAGGTTACAAAAGCAGGGAAAGGATTCATCTCATCAGTGGCACCGTTAATTAGTCTCACAGCCTCTAGAGGGTGCTGCGGTTACAGCTTTAGCCACAATGACATCATTTATATGGTGGAATACTTCATGGTTGTTTTAGCAGGAAAGCACAGGTGTGACTGATTAATCAATTAACAATGGCCCCCACTAAATGTAATGTCTCAGTAAGCAATGCCAGATGTAATCAATGTTATTAGTAGCACCTGTGCTGTTTCTGGTACTTATTTGTAGCGGTCGACATGTATACTGACATGTTGTTTTTCATTGGTAGTTATCGATCGGATACGCAGTATCTTAGTCTTCATTTGTGTTTCCTGTCGCTGTTACAACAATTTAGTTTCCACACAGAGGACATTTGAGTCTAATCAGCCTAAATCACGATACCACCTTATTTGACCAAATTAGATGTATTATGTATGTATAGATACTGGTGAAATACTCTCCTGCAAATTAAAGCTTCACAATGAGATCCAACTGCCCTCATTAACAGCAGTGAGTGAGCTGTCTGTCTGTCTGTCTGTCTCTCTCTCTCTCTCTCTCTGTGTTCCTTTTGATATCTTTTGCTTGCTGCTGTGAGATGTTACGCTGACCAAGGGGCAATAAAACCCGTGCAACTAATGCAACTCAGTAAATGTTATTAATACGGGATGTGTGTTCGTTCAAACCTACAAGACCCCAAAACAACCTGCAGGAACATTCTCCTTGTGGTTCTGCTTAATTTATTGCTTAACAATTGACCATGAAGACCATTACATTAGTGCCTTAAGTACTGGCTGCCTCCATGTGAGCAGAGCAGCAACACACTGTTAGTCAATCTGCCAACATGTGAAAACAAGTGTTTTTTTTACTGCCGGGTGCCAGCTTTGCTCTGCGGACTGCGTCCCTCTGCGGTGCTTGTGTGGTAGAAGGTCAGCGTTCACTGTGTCCTCTCTTGTGTTTTCCATTAGAACCAACACCCTGCTGGAGAAGGTGGCAGCAGCGGTGGAGCAGTCGGCCTTCTACAGTGCCTTGTGGGGCAGCATCCTGACCAGCCCTGCCGTGCGTCTCCCCGGGGTGTCCTTTGTTCTGCTGCACCTCAATCGCAAGCTCTCCATGGAGGACCAGCTCTACGTCATAGGCAGTGACATCGAGCTCATGGTACGTGACACGTAGTGTCTGACACATTGTTAACCGAGGGGATCAACCGAATCGCTTCAAATCCGTTGAGTGTAATGTTGTTTAATACGCTAGATTTTCTAAAATGTGAATAGGCAGGTTGAATAATAGTGTGTCTCTGTTCTCACCAGGTGGAGGCGGTCAGTACCTCAGTCCAGGACTCAAGCGTCCTGGTGCAGCGGAGCACCCTGGACCTGATCCTCTTCTGCTTCCCCTTCCACATGAGCCAGGTAAGGACAGCTGTGTGAATGAGGTCTGGTTAGAACCGCCAGCCTGTGTGGTAGCTACAGTAATGATGTGTGTGTCTTACAATTATTAGAGCAAAGTATCTAACTTGCTGATATTGATATATAAAGCTATTCATGTATCAG